ACCAAGTCTCCGTTATTCCAATCACATCATAATTCCCTGACTTTGCCAGGACCTCCAGTTCTCCCTGCTTGTTTCCCAGGCTTTGTGCATTTGTATATAGGCACTTGAGATAACCCGCTGATCGCCCCTTGTTCTCAGTATGAGGCAGGAGCCCTCCCCTCTCACACACTCCTGCTCGTGCTTCCTCCCAGTATCCCGCTTCCCCACTTACCTCAGGGCTTTGGTCTCCTTCCCCCGGTGAACCTAGTTTAAAGCCCTCCTCACTAAGTTAGCCAGCCTGCTCACGAAGATGCTCTTCCCTCTCTTCGTTAAGTGGAGCCCGTCTCTGCCTAGCACTCCTCCTTCTTGTTGTAGATGATCCACAACAAATAATTTACTCAATAACCTTTACTGCTCCTGGATTGTCTGCTAGCAAATTGGAATTTCCTTGCATTTTTTTTCTAGTTTACTTAACTTTTACAAGGTATTTAATTTTTTCTATGATGGATTGACTTCATGTGTCTGATAATCGGTATTCAAAACCTAAGGTGTGCTGGTTAGTTGTGGTGGGTCACATAAATTATGTTCTATTCTATTTCTCTTCCATAAGTAGACTACATTTCTAAATTGTCACTCCCCAATCCTACAACAGCTACAGGTACTGGTTAGATTATCAGGACTAAACATGTTTATTTTTTATGACATTTTCCTTGTACCTAAATAGAAACTAGCAAATCTTTGGAGCAGGACACTGGATTTATGTGCTTTAAAACCTCTCTATATATTGTATGAAGAAAATAAATGAATAGTGGGGTATTTTTCATACCTTGCCTTATCATCATCATCATCATCATTCTGTTTCGATATCTGACAGATAACCATGATTGTGATTGGCATGTGAGCTGACTAGAGAGGCACACATTATCTGGAAGCCATCACTGCCCCTCTTAATTGCCAGAATGGGTCACTGGTGAATAACTTGAGGCAATCATGGGCCAAACACCTAGGGAAGTAAGATAAGCATCTAAAAAATGTGAACACCAAAAGGACTAAAAACAGTTAGGGGTGGGGTCTAGGGATTAGACTCAACAAGGGAACATTTTGCCTTAATATGAGGGAACAAAATTCCATGGTGAGATCACAGAGATGGTTGAAAAGTTCCTCAAAGTAAAGGAAGTTCCATTTCTCGAGTAACTGAGAACAGAACTGGATAACACAGTGGCAGACATACCACAGGAAGCAATCCACTGACAGGGACAGATTAGATGAGTTCTATTAATGTGTTTGTTTCACTTCTATAATTTTCTTTCCATGGCCCATTCACACTGCCTAAGCAGTACTCCCAAGTCATGCTGACTTATGACCTCAAAAACTTGTCTCAGATCCCTAGCTTTACTAATGTATCAAATCAGCAGGAACAATATATTTTGGCATGCTGCAGAGTAACAACCTTTAATGCTCAGTAGAGCATTCCAGAGAATATTATACTAGCTTGCATTTTACTTGCCCACCATGTGAGACTACCTTTATTTTTCAGTGTAGGAGACTGAATTAATAAAAGTTAGTTAAGTAATTATAGCCTTTTCATTTATAATCTCTCTTGGCATTGAGCTAGAATGCCACAGCCAGAATTGCATATAAAAGACATTTGACAATTTAACAGAAGCAAGAAGGATACATATAGGCTGGTATATTTACTCCTAGGCTGGAATATTTACTCCTACTGAGAAAATAAGAGCATTGTGGGCCATTGCTAATACTAAGGATTCCAGATAGATCCATGAGACCCTGAGAGCATGAATAATTTTGATGAAAGGTAAATATATACCTTCTCTAGATCATGCAGTCAACCACCTCCTACTGGGATCTTCATCCACCAACAGAACCTCCTCACTCTTTTCTACAGTGAGCAGCAGTCAATTCACTTTAATTCAGATCCCTGTCTTAATCAGATGTTGCAAAAATAAGACCATTGACTGTATTCGATGAAAATGAGACAGAACAATCCATCTGTAGATGAATCTCTTGCATTCCAACTGCTAATACTAGACTGCATTACCAGATAGGGGAGACTGGACAAGATTCATATATTTGCCCTGTTTCCAAAAGATTATGTATACTTGAACAATTGACCAGTATTGTTCATCAATGACTATGATTTACAGTTAGATATTAGGACTCTCAAAATTGAGATGCTCATTGGGTTTTTTGTTTTTGTTTGTTTTTTGAACAATGTAATTCACAATGATTAAAGGTAGTCATTTTCTATTGCTGGTAAAGAAATGTCTTTGGTGTTTCTTTAGGTAAAAGCCAGAAAGAGATCCATCCTAGCTCTTAAAACTGGACTAGGTGCTATGGTGTTAGATGTTATGTATATAAATATGCAGCTCTCATTCTGTACATACAAATTCTACTAATGTAAATGGGAACTTTGCATGCATATCTGAGGCAGTGTATGTCCTTTCTAACCAGTGTACGGGGGGGGGGGGGGGGAATTCAGCTGGCAGCCTTATCTGCTAATCTGAACTATACATAAGCAAGGGAAAATACCATATAAATTACACTGCTGTTGTACAGGTCACAGAGCCACAAAAATGTCATACTTCTTCTATCCTTCGGAGGAATGAGCCCTATATGATTACTATTCCCGTTTCATATTTCTGAATATAGAGTGAAATATTTGTCTCTATAAATAGGTAATGCTCAAAAACAATTACAGGGATAATTTAGAAACATTATGCTTGTAGTCCTCCATTCAAATAAATCATTTGCAATATAAAAATGCCCTGCAAAAGTGCATTCAATCCTTAAAATGACTGATTGTATAGGTGAATGATTTCATTTCCATTATCTTGTATCCACCTTTGAAAAAACAACAGGTTAGGAAACAACCCAGCAAACAAGAAAAACCTGTGAAGGCCGGTTACTGCCCTTAGTTACGCTGATGTAAATCTAGAATTATTTGACTGTGATCAGATGGAATGACTCCAGAATTGCATCCTTAAAGATAAACACAGAATCTGGCTCTCAGGTGATACATTTCTATGATGAAGGATAGTAACAAAGGCTACACCTGAGAAAGGCCTTTGGGAGAAAGGAAACACCTGCTAGTATTGCTGGCGAACAGGTGGAAGGCAGAACTTTGCAGGCTTGATAGCCTGTGGTTAGTATTGCCATTACAGAGAGTGGTTTTCAGGTGCCCTCCCCTGCACTCCCTCCAGAGACTTTACAAAGAAACGTTGCTGGTGAACGGAGATGAGCGATCTGCTTTGTGCTCCCGTGGAGATGCTCCAGGCACAGGCAGCACCGCGTGACTGACTCCAGCTACCTCTTTGTATTAGCGAACAGCAATCCAGTGGGGCTAGCCCTGCCCTCGCTGAGTGTGGGTCGCGCTGCCTTCTTGTTAGTGCAGGAAGCCTGAATTACAGCCTGTGTCTACTAGACACTTCCCCTCGGATCCCCCAGAGCTATTACCGTGGGCTGGGGAGGTGTGCTTGTGTGTGTGTGCGCGGGGGTACTCTGCCCAACTTGCCCCTTACTAGCTCGTCAGAGAGGGCTGTTCGGATGGCGGCGGCTGATGCTCATCGTCCCTGGTCAGCAGCATCAGCACCACAGACAGCTCCGAGCATTTAGCATCCCCCTGCTCCCGGCCCCGCGCTCCCCTGGCATAGGGTGACCAGACAACAAATGTGAAAAATCAGGACAGGGGCTGGGGTGCGGGGGGGGGAACAGGAGCCTACATAAGAAAAAGACCCAAAACCGGGACTGTCCCGATTTTGGTCACCCTACGTCTGGCAGGGCAGCCCTCAAGCTGCTCTGTAAAACCTGGGTGCCCTTAAGGGGAGGGCGCAGCGCCCCCGGCTGCCCCTTGCTAAGGGCTTGAGCCAGCGGGGCCCCTCCACCACCGCAGCCGCCGTCCTAGGAAGGTGCCTGCCTGCGCTCTCGGTGCTGGGGCTGGCTGGGGGGACCCCGGCGGGCAGTCTGGTGGGATCGTGGCTGAGGCCCGGCACCACCAGACTGCCCGCCCCGCTGGGCAGCTCAGCGCTTCCCCCTAACGCTGCCTCCTTGGAGAGACCGAGCCCCCCACCCCGAAGGGCGCTAGAGCCCCGGGCCAGCCCGAGCAGAACCCGCGGCTGGCGCCCGGCTCAGGGGAGGATGCGCCCCCCCCCCCGCCATTTCCCCTCCTGCTGCCCCATGGCCTGGAGGGGGGCTGCCATTTGAGGCCACGCTCCCTGGCCTGCGGGGACTGGGTTGCGGGTCTCCCCCTTACCCCTGCTGCTGGGGGTGCTCCAGGCGCATTCTCCGCCCCCTGTACCCTGCCCTTCCCTCCCTATCCGTGCCCGTGGCTGCCCCAGCCCCGCTGGCAGCCGGCGCTCCGCGGCTTTCCACTGGCGCGCTAGCAGCCATTCATCCGGCACGCGGGGAGAACAAAGTGGGAGGAGGTGCCGCTCTCCCCGGCCGGGCCCCAGCGCCCCTGGGTGCAACGGGCGGTCGCTTGCCCGGACATTGGCCGAGTTTCCCTCCCCCCCAGGCGAGCTGCACAAGGGGGGTCGCTGGGCAGCCGCTAGAACGATCCACCGTAGAGAAGTTTTCGCTGCTTCCTCTGTGGGTGGCTGCAGGCGGGAGGCTGAGGGGCTCCCCCGGCTCCACCCTCCCACCCGGCGTGGATCTGCAGGGATGTGCCCCGCCGCCCTCGCACGGAGCTCGTTGTGCAAACCCCGGAGGCGCTCGCAAGGGCAGGGAAGGCAGCTAGTTGCTTTCCCACCCAGGCGCTCCTCCCCTGGCAGGGCCGAGGTTCTTGTGCTCCTTGCAGCTGCTGCGCTGTGGGGGAGGGGGAGCATGTGGCAGTGGTGCCGGGGTGGATCTCATGCCTGATGTCGCTGTTTGTCGCTGAGTTTTAGAGAGATTTATTGGCTGGCTCCTGCTAAGCCACGCTTGAGTAATCCGAGCTGCTGCGCTCTGTGGTGAAGCCCGGAGGAGGGCGGCGGTGGGGGGGGGGGGGGGCGGTGGACGTCACTCCCTCTGGTAGCAGAGCAACAATAGTCTTCCATCTCTCTAACCATCACTACAGCTTGGGAAACTGCCCGGGTCACATTCATTTGCATTGGAAAACTGAGGATGTTTGGTGCTAGAGAAACAGATCGATCACCCTTGTGATTCCCCCTGCTCCTGTCCCTGCTTACCCCACCCCTACCCAGCCCAGAGACAATAGCATCCGAGGTCCCCCAGAGGAAGGAGCGGGGATGGATCTGATTCCAGTAGGAAAAGCGTGTGCCTAGAAGTGGTGCTAATGGGAAGAGATGCTGTGATCCAGAGGAGGATGATTTGTCACAAAGGGTAGCTGGCTCAGTGCTTTGGGCTGGAGCCGTGTAGAGATCATTGGAGAAGTCATTGTGCACAGGGAGCCGAAGATCTGTACAAACATGCCTGTTCGCAGAGGGCATGTGGCACCACAAAATACATTTTTGGGTACAATCATACGAAAATTTGAAGGGCAAAGTAAGTTCTCTCTCTCTTTCTCTCTATTTTGATACAATAGTTTGGGTCTGCTTGGGACTAGATGCATAGCAGCTCCAGACTGTTTTAAGTTTGTAGGTTGGAAAGGAAAAACAGGAGGTGATGAAGGGATCCCTAAGAGCCTTGCTGATATTATTACTGATCTACACTACAGTTTTCGGTTCCCCCTCATCTTAGGGGGCAGTTTTAATTATTGACTGTATTATATTTTGTGTTGTAGCTACTGTACCTACATTTCAGCTGTTCAGCATATCATACAGTGGGGGTGCTTATGCAATATCCAAGGAAAACATTGCTAGCTATTTTTTAAAACATAAATCAGAACAGGCAGACTTTGATTTAGAGGAGACAAATAACACCCAGAGGAATTGTTAGGGGGGAAGTACTCTTATTAGCTTGCCTTTAGCACTGCATTTTTAACATATTTATCAGTGATTTTTTTTTTATCATTAGTTTATGGAAGCTTGAAGTATCTATTAAATCAATGCAAATGCATCCCCAGGGACGTTGCTGATCTAGTCTATGTATCCTTCCCAATGCAGTAGTTTACTACCTGTCAAGGATATTGAAGCTTTCACTATTTTTCTTTTAATTCCAATTTACTGTACATCTAACACTTGAAACTTAAAAATAATGTTATAACAGCATCCAAAGAAACAGTATGTTTGACACAGCTGGACTAATTTAAATATTTAGCATGTTTATAAGATATCAGAGCACTACAAAAAGAAACTAAGTTTAGCTTATACACTTTGCAGTTCCTTCTCTAAATGTATCTACAGCAAATTTAATATTCTTCTAACTCGTATAAGAAATAAAGGCCAGATCCTACAAGTTTTACATATATAAGTATTGAAATCAAGGGTACTATTTATGTTAGTAAGGGTTTACAGACTCAGGCCATTGAATTGTGTGACTTACTGTTGCAGTGAATAAAGCTAGTAAATAATACACTCCTTTAAATCACTAATACAAGGTTATTGTGAAAATTCAGCATAATATGAAGACAGTGGGGAAAGTATATATAAAATGCACTTTTTTCTACAAATGTTTTGATGTGTTAGAAAACAATATATTTAATTAAAAATACTAATATAGGGTCATACAATGCTCACTTAACTCATGATAAATCCTATTAAAATTGTGGGTTTTGTTTGTGTGAACAAGACAAGCAGGACTTCATAAATGGTAATAACATAGCAATTGTATCAGCGCTGAATATCCATTTGTAAAATGGGAGCAGTATATAGTGCAGTTGTGAACAGAAATAAGTAGAATAGTTATAAGACAACTTTGGTACATTACTCTCAGATGAAAGTTTCAGAAGATATGTGTGTCTTACGCACATCACTTTACAAGTGTAGTTGAGACCAGAATTTGACCCAAGATGATCTTTTACTATGTGACTTGTAATATCCCCTTTCTGTAATAACTCTAGCTTATAACAACTACACAAGCAACTGAATGATCATATTACATTAATTTTCTTGGGAGTTTAATTGAAAACCAGATTAATGGCTTGATCCTGCTCATATTCAAGTCAATGGAAAAATTCCCTCTGGCTTCTTTAGTGCAGGGTTGAGCCCTTTGGTTTGGGCTTGATACTGGCAAGATCTCATGCAGATAAAATTCCCATTAACTCTTCAAAGGAGTTTTCCTCAGGAAAGACTTGCAGGACTAAGCCAATAGTCTGGGTTTCAGTGACACTGAAAAATGTATTACAAATTTGGAACTTAACAAGAGCTTTGCAAAAGGACTTCTTGGATCTGGTTTTATTTTCTTAAAAGCCAACTATCTTCATATTTAATGTATAACAAGTTTATTGAAGTTTCTTTAAGAGTTCTGGGTCAAGTAAGCTATATTGAAGATCTCTACATCATAGAAATCACATGCAAAAAATAGGTAATAGGTTCTTCAACATCTGTCCTTGCAGACAACAGTTCATGGAATGTTGAAAAAGTACTGAAAAATGCATCACTTTCTTGTATTGCAGATAAAAAATTCATCATTGCTAATGCTAGAGTGCAGAACTGTGCTATCATCTACTGCAATGATGGGTTTTGTGAGATGACTGGATTCTCCAGACCAGATGTCATGCAGAAACCTTGCACCTGTGATTTCCTTCATGGGCCAGAGACCAAAAGGCATCATATTGCCCAAATTGCCCAGGCACTGCTTGGGTCAGAGGAGAGGAAAGTGGAAGTCACTTATTATCACAAAGATGGTAAAGTTTCTTTATTTTAGAGATTTTTTAATGTGTTTGGGGGACCAGTTGGCTTGTAATTGGGTTTTTAAAGAAATTTCTTGGACACTCTGGGCAAAATCCTCAGCTGGTATAAACTGGTGTAACTCCATGGACTTCAGTGAAACTACAATGATTTATACTATCTGAGGATCTGTCCCTATAAAATCAAATTTTGATATTTATCATACATTTCTACACATATCTGTCTTTTAGAATTGGAAGAAAAATCCCAAATTTTACTTATTATATGACCAGTGTACAAAAAAAAATAAACAACTTTTAATGGTACTAAAATAAAGGGTCTGGCTCTTCTTTCACTTTCACTGGCATAAATCAGGAATAACTCTAGTGCAATTCTGTTGAATTCAATAGTGTAAAACTGGTGTAAGTAAAAGGAGATTCAGGCCCAGACAGTTAGTTTCTATGGATAGTTTTGTATCATAGACTGCAGTAACAACATACAAGTGCCAGAGAGTTAGACTCTGCTACCCACACTCAGCTTGAGCAGTAACTTGATGTAAAAAGGATATCTGAATAAAGTACTACTTATCCTGAGTTAAGGGTGACAGAATCTGGCCCTTGTTAAGTGAAACATAATTGAGAAAAAGTGAAAAAAAGGCAAATTCTTCTCCTAGTGGTGCTGTTGTAAATGCTGAGTAACAACTGAAATCCAGAATGATGCTGTTATAACAAGGAAGGATTTGGGTCCCATCAAAACTGAAGGGAATTCAGTCTCCCCCTCCCCTCCCCAGCCCTCAAGGAAGAATGCAGACTGAGCAGAATACCATTTGTATTATTATTGACATATGGAAGAAAGAGTAAAACAACTATGCTGATATATTTACTGTTGAAAGCATGAAATGAATATGTGTCCATGTGTTCTGAAAATGATGTATCTGGATATGAGAGTAAATAATTATAACTAAATAATAGTTAGGTTTAAGATTTTTTTCTGATTACTCAGCATTATTTACAGGAATGTCTAGCTTCAAAGAGGTCTGAGTAATGTATAAAAATGGTGTACTATGTTCTGTCCCTCACTGTGTATATACTCAAGAGAGAAAGCAAGGGAAACTCATATATTCAAATATTGAGCTTAATTTAGTTTTGAAGACATGTCGTAGTACTGTTGGCATTAGTTTGAGAACTGCAAAGACAGAAGCTCTCAAGCTTTAAAGTCATAGACCCAAATTCTATTCTCAGTTATTATCATTCCAGAGTGACACCAATGAAGTAAATACGGTTATTCCAGATTTATCCTGAAGTAATTGAGAGCAAAATATGGCTTACAGGTTATCCACTCACATCTGATATTTTAAAAGTATTCTCCTTACCCTTTAGATTCTCATATTCTCTCTAGAGTTAGACCCAACCCCAAACCCTGGATCAGAACATTTCCTTACTTTGGGGAAGTTCAGATCTTGGTAGAGATCCTCACCTAAGGTAGAGCTGCTTTGCTCAGTTTATTTCATTGAGGATCTGGCCTTCTGTGTCTTGTGGAAATTTTTAATCTGTGTATGTTAACATTAAACATAAAATAAAAGTAGCATTGGAAGTGTGAAACACCATAGCTAACTTTGAGATCACAGCCAACAGAGCAAAGCTCTGGCTTTAGGGTATGATCACTCAGAAGCGTTCTTCCTACTTCAGTTTTCAAAAATGATTAGGGGACAGGGAGAAAAAGAGGGATTTACTTAAATTATTAATAAACTATCAGATACTTTTTTAAAAATAACACATTTCTGAAATGCTGAATTACGATATTATGCAACCTGACTTATTATAGAACATTAAGAGTAAAACATAAACAAGGCAAATTTTTATTTTCTTTTCCACATTTTACTTAATTTTTTTCAGTTTGCAACATATAATTTATTAAATTATAGAGCATTTAGGGGAAGATACTGTAAACAGTTATGCACAAGAGTAACCATACTTTCATGATTAGTCACTTTAAACTTAAAGGCGATATCCATGTCCGTAGAGCTAATGCTCAGCCATGGGTTTGCAGAATCAGTCCCTTTAGAAAGCCACAAATAGTGTTTTTAACAAATTAGAACCTAAATGCTTCAAAGATTTACTACTGGGCAAAATAATTTACCATGAGCACTAATACACTTCCATAAACCTTTGCACATTTGGGCCCAACTTTTGGAACTTAAATACAGAGAATTAAGGGATTGTTATTGCAACCAGGCTGTACTGAGCCATTGATTTCTAGGCAAAACAGCCCATTAGTTCTTAAGAAATCCCCACAGAAATCTATTATAGTCTCTGACCCCATGCTATTTACAAGCCTGCAACAACCATTTGGAGCCCAGTACTGCATTCTTAGTTCATCTACAATTCCCACCAACTTCAGTGCAATCTTTGGTTGTGGAAAAAAAAATAATCCAGGATTGGACCATTTTTGGGAGACCATTTCAATAACTTTGTGACAACCTGGTGGCAAATCTATTTATTACACATATATATTTTTTGGCATTCTTTCTATATTATCTGTAAGTCCTCACTATAAGAAAAGTTTGAAAATATTTTAAAAAATCCTAAGTAGCAATAGTGTTTTGTAAAATTAAAATGTAGTATAAAAACATGTTCAGTATTATGCTGTGTGTAGTTACTCTCAGATTAATATTATATTGCTTATTAGTGGCTGAAATGTTCTATTTTAGTTTTCATAAAAAGTGTATGCACGTATTTTATACATAAATAAGCTTGGCAGAATTCAATTTTTAAAATAATTTGAGGGATAGCATGTTAATTTTTAAGCATGTTTTTCAATTTAAATTTGTACAGTTGTGGGAAATTATGGGGTGGGGGTCAGACAATAATTTAATGACAATAGATATTGAGATTTAAAAAGTTAAAGATTTATAACCATTAAAACATAAATTGTCATAATCACATCATGTGTCAAATATATGCAAAGTAAATACCCTAAAGTTCTGAAACACACATTTTCTTACTTTGCCTATCTGTAAATTATGATTATTATCGATGGAAATATTTGTGTGTGTGTGTATGATGAAATCAAAGTTTACTAGCATTATTAACATTTACTGCTAAAATCTAATCCTTTCTAGCATATATACACACACACACACACACACACACATATATCAGTAAAAGCTTACTACGACCTTTGTCAAGTTTCTGAAGCGGGCAGCAAGGTAGGGTGCAGAATTGATGGTTCTGATGACTGCTCATTTTGTGTTATGCGGAGTTTATTTTTTTAAAGTGGTCAATCCTGTGAACAGTTAGGCATGTAACTTATTCTTGTGAGTAGTACAAGTGAAATACTCAGGACTTAAAGGTTTGATTTAATCTATATGCTAATTAAGAAAATGCATATATGTATATATATGTTGTATAGCCACACACAGTATACTTCTGTACAAACACAATATATTGGTGATTCTCCAGCTTCCATTGGTATGAAGGCCACACTTCTAGCTCAGAAAAGTTGCAAGATTTAGGACTTGAAGCCTGTCAATTATGCAAGACTGAATTTTTTGGTTTGAGGAAAACATTTTTGTAGCAGGCTGATTTTAGAAAAATGGAAGCTGTCTGAAGCTGCATAGAGGTTTTGAATACTGAAATAAATCCTGGGATGATGGATTAGTGGGCAGAATGCAGGTGAGGTGGTCAAAAGATGCATGACAAAGACTAAATGATCATATAGTTCCATTAATCAGTTACATTGCTATCACCATCATGTACATTTCCCTCTACAGTATATATAATGGGGGAGGAGAATATACCTGATAGTGTGTTGTAACAATTTTAATGGTATGAATTTGGGTTGACATCTTTATTAATCAAGGTAGAAGGATTTATTCCAATTTACCCAAAACCTCAAAGGTTTGGAAAATTTACTGCTGATCATCATGCTTGCATGTGATAGAAATCTGAAAGGTATTTTTATCAGAAATAATTCTGCTAATATAGCATATATTTTCTTTATTTCCCTTTCCTGATTCTTTGTTAATAAAGGCCTTTGCATAATACAATCATTGTTTCTTAAGTCCTAATCATTTGTTCCAAAATAACCTGAAGAAGAGCTCTGCATAGCTCGAAAGCTTTTTTCTTTTACCAACAGAAGTTGGTCCAATAAAATATATATATTACCTCACCCATGTTGTCTGTTCCAAAAGAGACAATTATGAGGTCACCAAAAGGATTACAGTTTTTTAGGGAATGATTAGAAGAGGAGATGGACTCATAAAAACTAAGGGCCCAAACGTCTATCTCTTACTTACATGAGTAGTCCCATAAGTCACTGGAACGACTCATGGGAGTAAGGCTTTGAGATTAGCCCCTAAATTCCATTTTAATGCAAATGTCCTCATTAATAAAAAACTTGGGTAGATAAATGCAGAAAAAAAATCACAAGCAGCATCATTTCCAGATAGAATGTTTTTCAAAGTTGCCCGTGAGGCATTAGCAGTTGTTTAAATTAATAAATTATACTCTGAGTTCATAGCAATCTAGTACAATAGGTTTCTTACTGTTTATAACTTCTTCTCCCCAACTGGCTATCTAGAGTATATGATCTGTATTAGACACATTGGAAGGAAAGATATTGTTTACACAGATTATCAATTTTTGTTTTAATAGTTATTTGCAGTGGAAGTGTTTGACAGTTTTTCCTTTGAGGACTCCATTTTAAAGTTTAAGTTATTATTACATAAAGCATCCTTGACAGCAGTAAAATATGACTTGAAGTGATAATGCTGTAAAGTTTTTGACATAAAAAACTATAAATTATACAGAGATTGAGGATGGGCATATGTTAAAGTATATTGTCATTGCATACTATTTTGGCATGTGTTCTGCAGACAACAGTAGGATATAACTAAAAATATAGCCTAAAAAGTCTGCTTATTAGTATGACGTACAGGAGCTCTTTAACTACTTTACATAGATGCAGATATTTTATGGCTAGAAAGTACCAATGAAGGATGTAATAATGACTAAAA